CAAGCACACGCGGTGGTCTTCTCTTCTGGTTGGCAAACACAGTGAGAGCGAATGGTACATAAGATTTCACAACCTACCATTGTTTCTCCATACCTTAGACATTTGGGCGGAATATAAAAAACATGGCTGTCAATTTTATAGACAAAAATGAGGTTTTATTTTATAATTTGCCATCTTTGAAACCAATCGTTTGCTCTTACTTTTATGGGTCATTTGTATTTCTTAGTTTATGAATTGTCTATTCATGTCAGTTGTCTGTTTTTCCATTGGGTTATCACTCTTTTTCTTACGGACTTAAAAACTACTTTATGTGTGTTAAGGATATTAATCATTTTTCACAGATCTTGTAAATATTTTCTTTCAGCTTATTTTCTTTGAATTTTAGAAAAGTTTCAAAATTATATCCAGTTAAATATATCAATCTTTTCCTTCATGCCATTTACTGTTAACAGTTTGTGTGTACTTTTCCAGACATTTTCTATGCATATGCAAATATATCTATAAATATATATATAGTTAAATATAAAAAGTTTTCCTGCACATTTTAGATGAGATCATACTAACTATGCTGCAGCTTATTCATTTCAGTTACTAGTGTATTGTGGATATTTTCCCATATTAAAATATAAAGTTCTAACTCTAACTCTATAATATGAACTACTATAATTTTATTGAATCAGTTTTAAAGATTTGCTTATTATTTTCACATTTAAATCTGGAAGTTTTGGGTGTATGAGAGGAATAGAGACTGAATTTTATTTATTCCAGGTGTTGAGCCAATTGTCTGAATAGCACTTATAAAATAACCTATCCTTTCCCCACTGGTTTGAAATAACCGAATCATGTATTAAATATCACACATTTGATGATAACTTGATCACATATTTAATGCACACACATTTGGAACACAAGTTTCTCTCTAGATTTTCTACTTTACTTCCTTTATTTATGTATTCCTTAATCAGGACCCACACTGTTGCAATTACTTTAGTTTTATAATATATGTTACTACCTACCAAGTCAACATTATCCCCCTGTTTCATCTTTTTCAATATTGCTTGGCTAATTTTTTTTTTTTTGCATTTATTCTGGACTTTAAAATCATTCTATGCAGTTCCCAAAACATCTATTTAGAGTTTTGATTGAAATTGTGTTAACTAATTAATTGAAGAATTAGTGACATAATTTGCTAAGTATTATTTCAGAATTGTGTTAAATTAACTCATTAATTAAAGAATTAGTGACATAATTTGCTAATGATTGTTTTAGTATATCTCTCCATGTCTTCAAGTTTTGTTTTTACGTACATTAGTGATGTTTTTGTTTCCTGCATGTCTTGCATTTTGCATCAAGTTTATTCCTAGATATTTTATATTTTTTATTACAATTTTAAATGGCATTTTAAAATGTTTTCTAATGGACTATTATTGCTGTCTGTAGGAAAGTACTCATTTTTTGTTCATTTTGTAACAACTCACTTTACTGAATATTAGTTTGTTTCCAGCTGATTCTTTTGGATTTTTCATGCAGGCAACTGTGGCATTTGCAAAATAAATAAATAAATAAATAAATAAATAAATAACAGAGAGGGTAGATGGTTTTATTTCTTCTTTTACAGTATTTACACTGTTTCTTTTTATTTTCTTATCGCCTTGGCTAGAACCAGTTCCTGGATGTACTACATTTTGCTGCATATAATTCACACTTTTTTGCCCAAATTTTTGAGGGAAAAATAAGGATGCACATTATACATGGGTATAAGGATTACATACCATGGGCATAATAATCCCGTGTATAATGCACACAAAACGCGGGCGCACATTATACAGGGCAAAATACAGGTATCAATTAGATAGTTTTTTCTCTCTGGGATTTCACTGGGATCACACACACAAACACACACACAGACAATTTATGATTTAATTCTACTTTCCCCCTGATATTTTCATCTCTTTATCCTTTTCTTTTGAGTTCTTGGAGATTTTCTTGTGTTTACCTTCATAGCCTCTGATTTAATTTCTTACGGCATCTAATATGTGGTTCACTGCTTCTTTTGGATTTTAACATTCAACAATCAGTATTTTTCTCCAAAATACTCATCTTTGGAGAGTTGCCAAACTTTCTCCCAATTGTCAAAGCCTCATCATGTGCCTTCCCAAAACACCCATTTAATCATGCCAGTTGTCTGTTCAAATGATTTCAGTGGGTTCTGTTGCAAAACAAATTCCGAACCGCTCAGGACACGTTAGGCTTTCTGTTATCTAGTTCCACTAACCTTTCAGCGCTTTCACCTACCACTCCTTCCAGGCGCCCTGAGTTCCGGCCCATCCCCCAGGCCCCTTGCACAGTCCCTCCCCTTTGCCCACAGGGTCCTTTTCCTGATGCTTTACCTGCTCCTCCTTCAAGAGCAAGTTCATAGGACAATTCTGTGAAGCGTCCTGGACTCCCGAGGTGGAGAGGTTAGAATCCCTCCTCTGTGCCCCCTCTGTACGTGGTAAATGCTCTTTCACTGGGGCACTTTGTACGGAGACAGCCATCGTATCTATGTCGACTCCCCCTGCAGATCAAGGGGAGGCCCAACCCTTGCTCCCTTCCCCCCCCCCACGCCCTTCTCTTCTGTCATACTCACCGGTCCCTATTCAAGTTAAACCCAATTACCATGTATTCCACACCTGCACTGAACAGTTAAAAAGTACACAGCAGTGGGATATAATATTACCCGGTGACCTTACTATGTATGCCTATGGTATATTCAGTTCCTTACTTTCCAAAAGGACTATTTCATACCTTCTTCTCTGTCCACAGACTTCCTAAAATACCTCTTCCCCGATGATCTTTCCTCTAATTCACAAAAAACAAAAACAAAAACACACAAGCAACCAGAGACAATTTCCTCACTTCCCGCTGCCACACCTTCCGATTCTCAGCACCCTCTGCTCCCACCGAAGGCCAAGCCCCCCACTTTCACTCTGCATCCTGCCCTCTCCCACTTCCCTGAGTCTTGGCCCCGGCGATGGTCGCGGGCCTACATCCCCCTCTCCCGAGGGATCATTTCCGCTGGCCTGCAGGCATGCCTCTCTGTCATCTGTCTCTTAAAATATAAGAATAAAAGTAAAAATTAAAAAGACCTCTTAACTCTCCCTCCCCCTCTCATAAGAACCCCTCCAAGTCTCCGCTGTCCTTCACACCAAACCTTTTTTTAAAATCACCTGCAGTAACTATCTCCAATTCCTCATCTCTCATCTCATCTCCCCCTGTTCCAGTCAAACTTCTGCCCTTTCTGCTCCACTGAAACTGGTCTTGCCAAGACATTAGTGATCTTCAAGTTGTCCAATCACATGGTCACGCCAGCGTCCTCGTCTTGCTCTACCTTTTGGCTGCATTCAGTACAGTTAACCACTTACTCCTGTCTCAGATTTCATAATAGCTACTACCCTGGAGGTGTGCCCCCCACCTCTCTGGTCTTCCTTGCTCCATTCTCCTTCTTTTCTCAAAGTTAGAGTCCAGTCACGAGACCACTTCTCTCACGAGACCACTTTTCTTCTCCATGTCTAATCTTCCCATGGACAATTTTATTCTATGGATTTAGGCCCATTTATATATTAATGGCTCCCAAATGTATGTATCCGGTCCTGATCTCTCCCCCAAACTCCAGACTATGACTCATATACTTGCTTGTCTTCTAAGAAGCACTCCTAACTTAGGTCTAAAACATAACTCTTGATGTGCCCCTTCAAACATTCTCCTCTCCAAATCTTCTCTATGTCGTTAAATGGTACCATTCATCCAGCTGCTCAAGCCAAAAACCCAGGCCTCATCCTCTATTTTTCTTTCCCCACCCCTTCCTCGCTGCCCTGCTGCCTCGTTCCTCAATAAATCCCTTTGATTCTACTTAAAAAATACTTCCCTAATCCATCCGCTCGTTTGTGAATCCATTGCCACCATCCTGGTCCGAGATGCCGTCGCCCTTCCCTGCACTCCTGCGGTCGCCTCCACGCTGGCCGCCCGGCTTCCTCTCTTGCCTCCTTCCCACCATTCATTCTCCGCCCAGCCACCAAAACAATCTTATAAAATGTATATCAGAGCACATCATTCTCCTTATTTAGTCTCCTGACTAAACCTTCCAATGGTTCTTCATTGCACTTGGGCTGCAACCCCACTCCTCACGCAGGCCCAGGAAGCGCCCTGTTGTCTTGCCCCGCCCACCTCTCCGGTCACGCCGTGTCCACTCCCCTCTTGCTCTGCCCTGGCCACATGGCCTCCTTTCTGTTCCTAACTTCTTTCCATCTGGAGGACTTTGTAACAGCTATTTCCTCTCCTTAGAGTGCTTACTCCTTCTCACCCTACCCTAATTTATTAATTATAACACTAATCACAACTTAACATTTCCTTGGGTTGGTTGGGATTGTTTGTTTGTTTGTTTCATCCGTGTCTCTTACCTAGAATAAAAGCTTCCAGAAGGTATGGACCACACTCTCTTGTTCCCTGTTGAAATCCTAGCACCTAGAACAATTTCAAGCACATACGAGGTGTTCAGTAAATTCTTATTGAAGGGATGAATGAGTCCTAGTATTCCTTGCCATTGGCATATTCCCTGACCCCAAGCAAGCTCCCCTGTACTTGTTGAACTAATGGATAAGTTGTTCCAACTACACTGTGAGCTTCTTGAGAGCAGAGTCCTGCTTTAGATTCCTTTGTTCTCTCCACAGCACCAAGCGTGATGCTAAGAATTTCCAGTTACTTAATAAATATACTTGTTTGATTTCACAAAGAGAAATCCAAATGATGAAGCTGTCTTCTTAATCAACTCTATTTCTGTGAGCATAAGCATGTGACACAAGAAGAATGTCATAAGAACCAAGATGACCTAGACAGGAAGCTACAGGGGTGGGCCAGCCATCCTCGGTGGGAGCAGAGGTAAAGGAGGGTCTGCCCTTTGTGGTTTTCCTATCAGGATCCCAGTCCTAATGCTATGCTTCTTTTTGGTGCATGTGTTACAGGGGTCAAACTACCTCCTGGTGATGGTGGACCCAGACGCCCCCAGCAGGGCTACGCCCATTTATCAGTACTGGAGACACTGGCTGGTGACAAACATCAGAGTAAGCTGGCCATGAGGCCCTTTCTGTTTCATCGTGGGTTATGGCTGGGAGGTTATCATGCTCTGTGGTCCTCAGCCCCTGTTCGCGAGGGCGGAGGATGCTGCTGAGCAAGGACTTGGGCATCAGCTCACCCCCAGCACCCAGTTCTCACAGGCCCTCTAAAGTTTTCTAACAATTTCAAAAATGTCCCGGGATCAGGGGTGCACAGGCAAATGGGCTCTCAGAATAACTGGGGGAGGAGCACCACTTTGTAGTGTTTGCCTGTTTCTGTAGAGTAAATACTCCCACCGTGGCCGGTTTCACAACAGACTCACAAAATTTCTGAAAATTTAACATTGGCTCTGGCACAGCACTGTCAGGGGCCCGGATCTGGGGACCAAGGGTGACGCTGCGCAGCCCAAGAGGCAGAGCTGGGGTGGGCGGGGATCCTGCAGGAGCTCCTCCTCCTGCCCAGCAGAGGAGGCGTGGCCATTCCTCTCCTCCTACAGAAACAAATGGCCTCCCGCACCCTTGTCCCTTTGCTGTCGTGTTTGAGGAGGAGCCTGGCTCACACTCTGAGTTGGAGATCTGAGGACCTCAGATCTGGTGGGTTGTCAATGAGCATCGGCTGGGGCTGGGTGGAGGGAAGGTTCTATCGACAGCCAAGTTCTGGAGACTCTGGGTTAACCTGACTCAATCCCATTCCGCCCTGAAGGGCTTTGTAGAGCTTTTGGTATCCTAATAGGCTCTCTGTAATACGCATTTAATTTTCAGTCTCATTTGACTATTGAATCTTTGTTCATGGGCACCTAGCAGCGCACTTTGGGCAAACCCTCGCCAGCTTCAAGCGTGCACGCGTCTCTGCGGGGAAAGCCCGCCGATGACCTTCGCACAGAGTGTGCAAAGGCTTCAACCCCGTATGATGGTGGGAACCCAGAACTAGGAAGACAAAGTTTGGATTCAGGTGTGGCTGGTTCCCAGCTCAGTGACCGCCTCAGGTCACTGGCCAGCTCTCTGGGGTTTTGTCCTTGTCTGTAAGAGGCGGTTGTCATGATGACCCAGTGATAGAGCTCACTGAGAGCATTTGGAGAATGTGGAGGATCTCACAGGTCTAAGGAGCTTGTGTTCTCCGTTCTAGCGCTGCTGGACGGAGGCAGTGGTGTCCATCTGAACTAGCTATTGACGTTCCTGAGCAAGGCAAGGGCTCTCACTGCCCCTGGAGCGAGGGCATGCGGGGTTGGGGGGCGGGGGGAGTTACCCCGGCAACCAACCTTGCCCAGGGACCACAGGCGTTTCCCAGGCCCTTCCCACTCCTGAGGGAAAGCAGCGACGCTGCCCCGCCCACTGCCCCACTCACTGCCCCACCAATCCCGCCTGGGCCTGCTGGGGAGCCTTGGAGACACCAGGAGCCTGCAGAGGGGCGGGGCCTGCGGAGGGGCGGGGCCTGCGGAGGGGCGGGGCCTGCGGAGGGGCGGAGCTGCGGGAAGCTCCTGCCCATCAGGGCAGGGAGGGGAGCTAAGGGTACCTGTTCCAATCCAGAGCGTTGCCCTTTTCTGTGCTTGGGACTCCATGGTGATCATAGGGACTGAAACTCTCCAAAAAGATGTCGCACTTATGGGCCACCATCCACACAAAGCAATCTCTGGGAGGGTTCTACGGGGCAATCCTGAGGCCAGAAATCAGAAGCTGCTGGGGATGAAATAATGTCAGCGTTGAGGCTGCCTCTCTTCCAAGCCTAAAGTCCCCCCACCCATTCTTCTCACCCCCGTACTCCCTCCAGACAGTTCTCTCACATGAGCCTTGTGCCTCAGCAGCTCAGCTCAGAAGCAAAGCAGGTGGCGGGTGGCAGCTGTCCAGCAAGGCTGATAAGCCGCAGAGCTTACCAGGGCCACCTGCCCGGGCGCAGCCCTTGGCCTTCCCGCTCAGGCCGGAGGAGGCTTGGGTTTCGCTCGCATTTTCACCCACTTTCCCTGATCCAAGGGGCCAGCAGGAAGCGGCAGCTCTCAGCCAAATCCACTTGGCCTGCCCACCAGCCCCCACGTTCCGCCGGCTACGGCCCCTGTAAACCGGCCGTTGGGGTCTCAGGCTGTAGACCTTGGCCAAAGGAAGACAGGGCTCTAATCACACCCAGACGCATTTCCTTTGTGTTGGTGTGAGCTGCTGCTGGGTGGTCTCAAATATTAGAGCCCATTCGAATCGGCTGGTTAAAATGCAGATTCCTGGGCACAGTTTCAGTCAGTCTGGAGCAGGCTCGGCGTCCACATTTAAGAAGTATCCAGGAGGAGTTTAGCTGCTTGAAGGAAGACTGGAGAGTTCTGTGTCAGAATCTCTGGGTTGTTATTAATATCACCTGGTTATGGAGCAGTTTTCAAACGAAAAGCACTTTGAAACTTCCTTTTGATCCTCACCGTGACTTTGTGAACTGGGCATTATGCCCATTTTATAGAGGGGCCGTGCCAAGCCTGGGGAGATGGGATGATGCAGCCTCTCAGCTAGTGGGTTTTAGCGGTGGGCCTTCGGTGCAGGACCCCGACTCCAAACTGTCCACCCTTCCTGCCGCACCTCGTGGTCTGTGTTCATGGCACCCCTCTTCCGTCAGCTCCCCTGTGACGGGACATGCCACTGTGTCCTCTGCAAAATGGGCACCATGATCTCTATGCTTCCCTCACCGTCCCAGGGCCCTATTTCTGGTTATTTTTTTACGGGTAGATGCATCTAGGCACCCTCCTCAGGGAAGGCCACCTTGCTAAATAAAATACACCTGACAAGCGTTTCGAACCCTCAGAAAAGTAAACCCTACATATTCTCATTACCCTCAAGGGTGAGTGGCCTTAGCAACGGTGTGTCATAAAGTCGCTCAGGACATGGAGTCACAATGGCCCTGTGATTCACAATGGCCACAGAGGCAAACGCGGCGGAACCTCAGAGGGCCTGGTTATTCGGGACCCGGCCTTAACTGGGGGAGCCTCTCAGCAAGGACAATTTTGGGGCCATTTTCCAGGTTGAAACAAGACAGCAACTGGTTCTTAACAATACAGGAGGCCTCTACATCCCCCACAGAGCAGCTGGCAGGGCCTGTGATAGATGAGTCCTCAAGTGAACTAAAAGCTAGAGAGAAGTCCATCAGCAAGGAGCCGGCATTTGCCGTATGCGTTGCTCCTCTAATTCCACAAACCAACTACCGTTTGCTATGGCGTAATGTTTAAGAGCAAGGACCCCGGAGCCGGACTGCTGGGCTTCCGATCTGGAGCCACCAGTATATTCACTCAATGATTCCAGGGGGCAGGGAACTCAGCCTGTGCCTCTGTACGCTGACTTGTACGGCGGGGGATACCAAGAGCCCCTACCTCACACTGTTGTTAGGAAGCTTAAATGAATTATCTGAAGCCAGGTGCATAGAACCAGTGCCCAGAACGCAGAGCAAACTCTCCATAACTGTTTGCTGTGACGTTATCATTGCTGCTTGGAGTCAGGAGCTGCACTGCACTGGGGCTGCAAAAGCAGGGTGGGGGGCATCTCCGCCCTCCGAGGGGCAGAGGAAGGAGGCTGCAGCACAGGGTGGGGTTGTGAGAGCTCCGGGTCTCCCTCTGGGCAGAACTTCCTGCACCTGCAGGTTCCCATTGGCTCAGAGGCAGAACGGGACTTCAGTCCCCAAACCTGGCCAGACTGGGGCAAGTAGAGCCCAACACATAAAACATGCGTCCTTCCTGTCCCCCTCCCTGAAAATCTCTCCTCGAGCAAAAGAGACTTTCAGCAGAGTACTGACACACATCCCACCTTTCTTCCCCCTGGGCCGCGTTCTCGGCTTTTCCTCTAAGATGTTGTTCTGTTCTGATGCAATCTAACGAATAATCTTCATGCTACAGCCTAATTAAGATATCAATTAATTTGCATCATTCATTTCAGAAAAGACGCTTATTGGTTCATCTTCTATTTGTCTCTGAATAGAGTGCTCAGAGCTTTTCATGCAGATATTTTCATTAGAATTTTTTATTGTTAGTGGGAATATTGAACACGGGAACATGGTATATTATGTGGAATATCATGATTGGTGACAAAGAACACTAAGAACAATTAAGGAGACAAGAGTACCTTTTTCCTCTAAAAAAGAAAAATCTTCCTAGAAACTGTCAATGATTCTAAAATTTGTCCTCAATATCTTTTTTTTTTTTTTTTTTAATAAAGAAAAGGAAACAGCAAGTTCACGGTTCCCTTTCATTCAGTGCCCTCAACCTTTGACAGCTGTAAGTGCAACCAATTCTGGGTTGAATTCAAAGGACCTCGAAGGATTCATTATTCTGTCTACAATTTTCTATAGCGTTGGATTTTTCCATAATTAAAGGGTTTTTTTTAAAGGACCCCTAAGTGCGAAAAAGATGAATGGGAGACCCGGTAAAACAGGGCGAGGACCACAGCCGCCGCTCGCCAGTTTGCAGGTGGCACGTGTCAGGACTCCCGTGTGTGAGTGATCGCTCCCACCTCTGAGTGATCGCAGGCAAGTGACTCGACCTCTCTGAAACTGCTTCTTGTCTGCAAAAGCGACACGAATCCCTTCCCTTCAGGGCTGAGACAACGAAAAAAGGAAATTACATCTGTAAAGAGGAGAGGCCTCCCTAGAGAGAGGCACTGTAAAAAGCGACGAATCTTCCTTGTTCCTAATCAATCGAGCTGCAGATCCTGTAGAAATTTAAATGTGTATATCTATAGAATCTGATTTTCTATATGCTCATAAGCAAGTCCATGGTAATAGACAGAAGAAGAATAAACAATCTTTGTCAGGACCGCACGTTCAGGCAAAGGGGCCACACCAAGGAAAGAGAATTAATTTTTACTGTCACTGCTGATATCTGCGCACTTCTGTGTGCAAGCTTTGCCCTGCACCACGGGGTCCATTGTAAGTAATAAATGCCTGCAAGGCAGAGCTTCTGCTCCCGAAGAGCATGTGGGTTTAGATCTGTGGGCCCTAACGAGCACTTGGTGATGGGGGCAAGGCAGAGGGGCGGGGTTACAAACGGGACTTG